CTTCATTGGACTAGTTTAACTAAATCAATTAGTTAATGGATAAATTAGTTTATTTATAGACTTGATAACATTTCTGGACTTTATATTGAAAATAGAAAATTAAAACGAGATTAGAATTTGATTATTGGACTTAATTGAATTAGATTAACGTATTTAGCTATATTGATACAATTAAACTTATTTATTTGATTTAGTTAGTTCAATTAAATTAGTGAGTCAAATAAATAAAACTGGAGGATTGGATAAATTAATTTAATTGGGTTAGTTAGTATAAATAAACTATTGAACTAATTTAAAGTTGTTATTGAGATTAGATTATCATTAATGATTATTATTTCGAATTATTGCCTAAGTCAAGTTATTATTAAAAGGGTTATTAAATAAATTATATAAATTATGTAAACTGAATTTTGAACTGAAATTGATTATTTAAATTCGAAATAATGAAATTATTATGTAGTTAATATAATTGGACTAGTTAACTATTTAACCAAACAAATTAAGAAAAACCGAGTTGGGTTATTATAATTAAAGAAAATAATAAGAATGAACTGGAAATAAACAGTTAGTAAGATTTATTAATTTAATATTTATATTTAAAGAAGGAATTATGAAGTTAAAGTAATTAAAGGTTGGATATAAAAGAAATAACGAAATAATAGAATAGTTATTGATTTAGAATTTTGATCAATATTAGAAGGAGAATTCAAGTGAAGATCAAGCTAGAGATTTTATTAAGGAGATTATCGCAATTTAAGGTAAGTTCTATGTCAACCAAAATGTTTTGCCTCGTACTTATATGTATGCAATATTTGCACTATGTGAATTATTTATGAATTGGAAATTATATGTTTGACATGGATCGAATATTTTGACTATATGAATATTGGTGGATTATTACCTTTTATGGATGATTAAATGTATATTCTTTTTATTAAAGAATATTGGTGGATTTATATTTATTACAAAGGATATTTTGAGAAAATATGACAATAATGATTTGGGGAAAACTTAAAGTTTTCATAATATATATTCTTACGTCTCGAGAGAAACACGAGGCGTGGGTGGTTAGGGCTACTACTACTTTTGGTGAAATTTATTTGGGTCGGTAACCAGTCCGGCAATGACATCCTCCGGTAGACATCCCGGGCTTTTATTTGAGGATCAAAGATCCTTTGGTGGTCGTAGTAGTAGTTACCTAATTTACCCTTGGACAATGTCCCTTGTGAGTAGGTGGTAGAAAACATCCTGCCTACTTGGGTTTCTTACTACTCGGAGGGCTTGGAATCCCTTTTAGAGGGTGTGCACACTTAAGGTAGAAATTCAGCTTCCAATTGGTGGTCGGTGGGAGCCGGAATTCCGGGATGAGCCGTAGACAACAACGACTCATTGGACTCGAGGAATCTTGAGTTTCGCCCACTCTTAAAAGAATCTAAAGTATTACTTTTGGAGGAATTGAAGGATGATATTATCTATTGTGGAAATTATTTTATGACATTAAACCATTTTGGAAATATGAGAGACTACTTTTCAATATATATACATATACAAAAACCTATTTTCCAAATTATATTATTTTACGGGTTCGGGTGGAATCTTACTTAGCTCTAAAGCTAATTTTTGTCTCTTTTCTCTTTTTCTCTTTGCTCTATTGTACAGATGATTATGATTATGAAGATTGATGTACTTGCTGCCCGAGTGTTCCGCTAGTTGCACACGTTTGATTAATTATTGTTGTTTAAAATTGTAATCCATAAACTTGTTTTAAGTTTTATCCGATGGCTACTTGAATTTATGGTGGATAGCCTGTGCACTCAATCATGTATAGGTTGAGTGTGGCGGTGACACACCTGTTTTTCCATTAAAGACTTCCGCTGTACTCTAAATATGTTTTATAATAAAGATGTTTTCATTTCAAAATGTTATTTTATTTTGGTGGGAAAAATGGGGGTGTTACACAAAACATCCAAAAAATCATCCAAAATACAAAGAAATCTATCAAAATCGATCTGAAAATTCCAAGATCTGAAAAAGAAAAAATTCAGGAAAAACATTCTGGAAATCGTGAGCATCCGCCACCCTTCAAGCTGCTGATGTGCATCATCTGGCATATGCTGCGAATAGGTTCAAGATGCTGAAGGAAAATTCTGAAATTCCAGCAAAACAGATCTGCGAAGGTCAACGCCGAGAAGGAAATCGGGAAACCTAAGATCTAGGTCGCCGTCCACCGTCAACACCACCATTGTGCACCAGGCTCCAGATATCGCCGTCATCGGAGCTGCATGGACGTCCGCGCCGCCGCCGTGCATCATTAGCTGATACTCGCTGCTTGTAGGAAGTCACCTACTCCCATCCCAAACCTGACCGGAGATGTCATCACCGCTCCGGCCACCATCACGCGTCATAGCAGAGGTTTTCCGCCCACTGGTGCCCGCCACCTGTTTCCCGATCCCGGTCGCCGTCATCCACAGTAAGCTAAAGCTGGTCCGCCGCCGCTACTGGATTTCACCGCTCGCAGCTGCAGAGCTATTGCAGCACCGCCGTGCTTTGTCAGAGAAGCCTATTCTCCGCCAGCTCTAGATCTGGCTAGTTGTCCTGAAATCTGCCCAAAGTATGGAATTCGTGGAACGAAGCACAAGACGCGAGTTCTACCGCTTCCACCACACAACCTACCTACGACCTGGGAGCTCTGTGAACCTCTGTCGGCCGTTAATGGCGAGTACATATCAGGGGACGATGGACGAAGCTTTGTTCCCCACCCAAGTTGTGGACACAACGACGAAGCCGCAATCAGAGCCACAGTCGCCGGAAAACCCACGCATGGTAGCAGCGACGTTCACCGATGACGCCTTACACGCAGCGGTAAAAGCACCTGAGAAGTAGTGGCAGCTCCTACGAACCCCTTTTCGCTCCTCCGACCATAACTGACCACAGTCTATCGTCCTCCTGACCGAAGGTCGCCTCTCTTACCCGCCTCCATTTCCGGCGGCATCAAGGACAGGGCTGAAGAGTTGCCTTCCTTATCTCCAGGCCTATGACCTTTCGCTTTACTCCAGATTTGATGCCAGCTGTGGGAAATGAAGGGCCAGACTAAGACATGCCAACAAGACTCCTGCAATTAGTATGGAATGGGTCCATGGGAACAGGACCGCAGAGTTACCGCCTATCTCCTCATGGGGCATATCCAGCTAATCCAGTCTGGTTTATCTTCTCAACATTTGGGACGGACAAAACTCATTGATGGGTCAAAAGTGGTCAATTTCTATGCAATTTCTATACGAGCCAAGATTACATCAAGCCCAAGACTGATTCTCACCAATAATAATGGGCCAGACCATTTTTGGGCAAGTTCTTTCAAGGGGCTAGATTTCAACCCATCAAATATTTCAGCCCACTTTAAAAAGATAAGTACACGTTGATTTTAATATTATTTATATTTCTTTTTTGTTGGGTGAATGTCACACTATCACGCACTTATGATCAAATGCCTAGTAGAGTGTGGCTTGAGACCCATCACTAGGATTTAAAGCCCTGACTCTCAGGCACAAAGCCCTGATCAAGTCGGGCACGAAGACAAAGCCCCGATCAAGTCGGGCACGAAGACCGGTCTTAGTCATTTCTCGAGTGGCGACTGTTTCTTACGAATGGCCCACACATCCATTCTATTAAGTATTTTATCATTACATTAACAATTCACATCTCCACTTGTTTCAAGTGACGAACTCCCGATCGGAAACATAAATCCCAAGAAAAAAAATGTATGTTAAATGTGTAGGTACAAAGATGACTTTACTCATTTTCACCTCGTCTCCACTCGCCTCAAGGAGTGGGGGACTGGGGGGTCAGAGTTTCTAGATGAGCAGAAAGTATCACGCATGAGCAGGAACGAGAGCTGAGTTGGTTGAAGATGAGTTGAGCTAGATTGATTGTGCCGGAGGAGACTTACCTTCCTTGTTTTATGTTGGGGGCGCTAGGTGTACTCTTTTTCCCTTTATTAGGATTTTTCCCACTGGGTTTTTTCCTAGTAAAGGTTTTTAACGAGGCACCTCCCCATCATGGACAAGGGTGGTGGTCCCCCGGCCGGAGAGGAAGAAACCAAAGACAGAAGAACGTTGCAGCTACAGTTTGGACTACTCCCTTTCGCCTCGAGTACTCTCGACTCAGGGAGTGGGGGACTCCTGATGGAGTATATGGACTCCAACCCCCCGGTCTGCCGATTACTGGGTCTGGACAGCGGCCCACACACGTTTAGCGGATATCATTCATATTATTGTACATTTTTATTATTCAGATGTTCTGGATTAGCTTTTTATACTATCAATCCATTTATGTAACCGGGTCTGTCAGACCCATATTAGAGGCTGAGACCCGGATTTTCCCTATATATACTCCTTATAGGAGGCTTGTAAACCATAACCAATATTAATTCATTCTATACACTTTTTTTTATTCCTTCTCCACTCTTGTTCAATCTCTCTAGATTATAGGTTATGGGTATCAATTATCCAACATCAGCCAATGCAGCCACTTCAGCCACACCTTCATAAATTTCAGCAGAATCAGCCAAATCACCCGATTTTCGTGCTACCAAACCGGCTCTATATCTTATGTTTGTAACAACATGTAAAGTAATTGTGAATGAAATGATCTTGTAATGCATAAATAAAATGAATGCATAGCTCTTAAAATTCTTTTACAATAATTGTACAAAAAAATTATAGAGAAACAAAGTATAATCTTATTCGATAGTTGACTTGGCGTACAATTAAAGCTTGTTTCGTAATACTAAAATTAGCTGAATTGGCTGAATTTAATGAAATTGATGAAATTCTGGCTGAATTAGCTGAATCTATTGAATTGTGAAAAAATGAAATGTAAAAGATACTTTATCAATTAAATTTAAAAAAAAAACATTATATGAAAAATGGTTAAAATGGTACTCTACGATACCATAAAAGTAACGCATATCTTACTTATTTTGATTATTACGCACGCGAAACTAAAAACTTAAAATTAAGAATTTCATTAAAAAATGTAGATTTTTTTTTTCAACACAAATTGCATTTTTTTTTATTGAATAATGAAAATCGTACAATGTGAGAAATAAGGTAAAATAAAAAGTACATAAAAAGAAATGAAACAAAAATAAAAGCTACTCCCACGGGAAATCTCTAGATTGGGACCTAGTCCTCATGCCGTGTCGCCTTTTGTTTTTTTGAGATTTCTTGTAGATCTTCAGTTGCGTGTTTAGATTGTCTGTTGGCAGACAATTTTCAGAGGTTACAAAATTTGCTTTGCAACAGATTGCGCTGTTGAATTTGGATTTCCTGATTTCTTCGGGGTACGAAATAGGAGGACGACGATTGCTTTCGGTTGCATGTCCTAGAAAGTCATCTCTGTAGAAAGAGTCATCAGAATAATCATAACTATCAGAGGCATCTGAGTATGCCTCGATCTGTGGCAACTTAGGTTGTTTCTCTGAAGATAAGACAATTTGATTTTCGTTGCATTCTGATTCTATTCGAAGATCACCCTGAATCTGAAAATTTAAGATTAGTTTGGAGATGGATGTAGGATCCTCTGATTCAATTCTGCTCCTCATTTGGAAGATGGAGTCATCCTGCACAGATTTTGGTATCCCTACAAAATTAGAGAAAATATTGATAAATTGCATTAGACTAGATTTTTGAGGTCTCATAGGAATCTTAATGAAGCTCCCCTTGTATTTGGCAATTTTCACGTAGCAACCTGATTTGTTTGTTTCTAAAGAAACTGTTTAAAACTTGGTTGATCCAAATTTATGAACTGAGATATGGACCAGATAATTCGGGGAGCGAGGTCAAGATCTACTTCCAATTTGAGCAACTGGGATTTGTTAATTTCGAAAAGCACCAAATCGTTAATTTTCACCGCGAATCTGAATATTTTAGATTCGATGTTGACCGAGTCAAATCCTTCCTCTCCAAAGAAAGAGAAATTTTCAGAGGCATCTTGCGCATCCTCGATTATTTCAATCGGATCGGTATTAGTAATATCCAAAGCTTTGACAATAATTTGTTTCTCTCTTAGTGGTGAAACTTGGCCTGAGATTGAAATGCCACTGAGGTGTTTTTTGTCTGCATCGAAACGAACTATGTCTGCCCATGTGAATACCTGTGTGTTACCAGAGGTGTGCGTCTCCTCTACATGTCTCTCATCGAGTGGAGCCCCCGGTATGGGAGAGAGTTTGTCGGCAGTGGGTCCAGATTTCAAAAAGTGGGTGGGGGGGGGGGGGGACTACCGGCTTGGAGTTCGCCGGTCTTCGATTGCCGGAACCAGAACCTGATGCTTTCTTCCCAACATTGAAATATGTCTTCCCATCGTCGCACTGTCGACGGTCTCTAGAGATTCTCCGACCATCGGTTATGAATCTTCTCCCATGGTTGTTATTGGTTTCTCTCGTGCGACGTTCACTGTTGAGGTTGGGCGAGATTTCTGATTCAAAATCGAATCCGAAGGGTTGCGCTGAGATAGGAGTTTCAGAATCGTCAAATCCTATGAGATGATACCGATTAGTGGTGTCAGCAATCCCGATTTGATCCGGGACTAAGTTCCGGTGCGTTGGGAGGCGTTGATTGAGGAGATGGGGGTGGCGCCGTCCCCTGTTGACCGTGCGCCAACCATCCTCCGTGTCCCCTGTAATAAGTGTGAAGGGTGAGTGATGAGGGTGAGCCCTTTCCTGCAGTTGACGAGCATCTCGTCGATGTTCCAGAAGGAGTGGCCTTGTATTCAGGTAGTTGCTGTGATTTTGGCCTGCCTTTGGGTATGTAGAAGAGGGACGCAGGGTGTGATGTGCATGGAGCCTGAGATAATCCCGTTTCTAATTCCTGCTTGAACGAGCAAATCTGGCACTACGCGAGTAACGAGACTCAAGATGGTAATAGCAATTACCCGCTTTGGGTCTATATTCTCCATTTCGCTGGTAGCTGCTATCCAAAGACCTGGGATACCTTGGTTTATGATAATTGTTGTAGCTGGACCCGTCGGTGAAGCAGGGGCAATTCCTTGATGTATGACAGTAGTTATCCCCGAAAAAATGTTGATTGGCCCGGCGACATGGGGGTTGCCGGAGTTCCATATGGCTGTATCAAGAATTGACTGAATTTTTAGAGCGATGAAGGAGATTCTCTCTCTTCATTATTCTTCTCACAAAAGATTCCAAAATCGCTTGGAACCCTTAAAAAATGTAGATTAAACTGATATGATGAAAATTAGAGCATTCATGTATATGAGGTACAAAAATGTACATATAGGGCTCAAACTAAATAATTGAAAACTATACATCTAAAATTCCAAACATCATGATATTTTTGTTTTAGTTAATTTACTACGAAGTATTTTGTTTAGTTTGTTAAAATGCATTAAACATTCACGAATAAAGAAGCACTGTTGATAAGTAAATTAGTAAAAATCGCATAAATATTTATCTAAAAATTGAGTTTTTAGTTGATAGTTTTTATCAGTTGGATCCTAAGTCAATACATTTTACCTTCAAATTTATTAATCATCGAGTCTTAAATATATATAAAAATCAATTTTAATATTTACTTTATAAAAAAAATTGAACAATATGTTCTCGGACATACTGTATAATTTAAAAACATATAGTACTAGTAATACATTATTTATAAAATAAAATTTTAACATATATCCAGAAAAAATATTTTATCATATATTCTTTACAATAATTATTCTTTATAAACATATATTAATATAAATAATTTAGATTTAAGATTTCTTTTTTAGTTCTTATCATGACTAGAAAACCGTAACAACACTATACAAGTAGTTTCAAAGAAAAAATGTTTAACAAAGTAAAATAATGTTATAAAATTGTTAGGGATCTGTAAATAGGTGTTTGAAAACAAAACAATGTCTCAACGTCACACAAGAATTTCAAAATAAATGGTTAATATGAGAATATATTAAGAATAAAGTATAATTCCTACATGGTGTTTTTTTATGAAATAATTCTAAATATATAACCAAAATATAATTAACCTACAAAAATATGACTCTAATAACTTCAGTGAGTATAATTTTATTCAAATGTTACCTCATAATCACTATAAAACTTACACGTAATAATTTATTCATTTTTTTAAATATTTGCTTATTATTTGACAATAATAATTGCTTTCATTAAAATGAATTCAATATTGCGAAGCAAATAAAATTGTACTTTTACGTAAGAATAAATATGTATGAAGATGAAAATAAATCATCTGTGGTACTTTTAATAAAAATATACCAACTAAAACTATATTTAATTAAATTTGTTTGTGTAATTGTGTCATATCTCCCTAATCCCTATGAGTCAGGATTTGAATCTAGTTTCGAATATGAAAAGAAACAAGTGCCCATTGAAACCAACAGAACAATGTCATTCTGGCAAAATTATAAGAGCATCTCCAATACTATAATGTGCACAGTGCACATGTGACATGAGTGATAGCCACATAAATATTAGGATATAAATTATTTCTCTCTTTATTTGAATGATTTTATACAATTTTGGTAAGTTTTTCCCTGCAATGTCAACAACAATGTCAACAACAATGTCAACATCTAGACGGTTTCCTTGACATTGTAGAGAAAAACTTACCAAAACTGTATAAAATCATTCAAATAAGGAGAGAAAGAATTTATTTACTAATATTTATGTGATCATTTCTCATGCCACGTGTGCACCGTGCACATTTTATCATTGGAGATGCTCTAAAAGGGCATGCTTTGGACAATGGTGAAATGTTTTACCCATTATCCCTCGCGGTCTCACCCTAGGAGTTTAGGACAAGTGACAATCAGATCAAATACTTCAACTGTATACAAATTGTTTCATCCAACAGCTTATTGAAACAAACTCATCATCTAGTCCAGCCTTACAAGATCATATTTATCCTTGGTCAATATATAACCCAAAACAAGTATACAACTACTTGAAGCACACAAAATTTACGTTTTCTGTTTTGGGGGGAAATTACATCAGACAGGAAAAAAGAAGGCAATAACCATTATTCTATAACAAAGCAACAATATGGTACAAATTACCAACGCAAGCACATGATAAAGATGAGAGGAAGGAGTGAAGAACAATCATGATGAGGAAGACCACTCCCTAGTCCTCTCTTTGCTTGCTCCAAATGCCACGAATATCACTCAACTACAAAGCTGCAAGGGTTATAAAATCACAGCTATTTCAAGATATAAAACTACACCCTATCTAGCGTCGATAGTCAGAAGGTGGAGGCCGTCTACTTGACCCTCTACTTAAAGATGCAAATTGATTCCCGCGAGGATGATGAATGTATCCTCCTCTACCAACTCTAGGGCTGCTCTGCTGGGAGCCCACCACACCAACGCCCCACTGATCACAAGGTTGATAGTATCCACTCGGATGTGGCGGTGGTGGTGATGGTATGTGAGGATGGGGCGCATGATAACTTCCTCCGTGTTGTCGATTATAATAATTCCTACTCTGGGAAACCGATTGCTCGACCCTTGCATAATTAGGATTAGCCCCCCTGTACGACCCTGTTGTATGAGGAACATAATATTGATGTCCTCCAGCATCTCGGGCATGATAACTTGAACTATTCATGGGTCGAGTCTGTCCATGACCATTGTTATATCTGTTTGATTGGTATACTTGGTGAGACTGCGGACCATATGCACCCGGATAGGATGTCTGTGGAGGTGGGGGTGCATATCTATGATCACCACCATACTCACCCCTACCCCTACTGCCCCTGTCAATTTTTATCTGTATGCTGTTAGCAACAAGTCGGTGTGCAGCCTCTCCCAGGTGTCGATCACGTATAGCTCCTGTCATGTCATGTCTGCAAAATATATAATAATTAAAATAAAAATCACCAGAAGGGTGTTTTTCCTCCCAACACACATATAGATTAAAGCAACCAAACCACCATGGATATATCTAGGTTTTCTTTACCTTCCGTTATCTGAATGTTTCCTTCCAGAATCTTCATGCCAAAGTACAGGGTCTGGTTTCATATCACCAAAACCGACAGTCTGCAAACATAAGATGGGTCACAATGATGTTCTATAGACCAATATTATCAACAACAACAATACCCCAGTGCTGCAAAGGCTCCTAACTACGGTGGGGTAAGGGAGGGTCGGATGTACGCAGCCATACCCCCCGTACTTAAGCACAGAAAGACAGTTTCCAAATGACCTGTGATGAAAATCGCGTCGAAATTTGCATAATCTGACTGCTACTTCATAACAAAGAAGCACATACAATTTAGCGAGTCATTTTGCTTTATTCCATTACACTACCAAGCCAAGAGTAGTGAGTCTTTGGCTCAATTGGAAATGATGGAATTGTATAGACCGATATTATAATAATAAATACTCCCTCCTGTCCTAAATAAACTTCATAGTTTCACTTTACGGTTTTTAAGAAAGTGAAATTTTTACTTTTGACTTTACCATCATGCCCCTACAAAAAGGTATCATGCCCTTACAAAAAGGTGATAAAGTGTGGTGGGACTGTGGGAGAGAGAAAGTGGGTGTAAAGTAGGTAATAAAGTAAAGGTATAGGGGTAACTTTATGTTAAAAACTTGCCAAAAATAGAAGTGTGAAGTTTATTTTGGATCTACCCAAAAAGGAAAGTGTGTAGTTTATTTAGGACCAGAGGGAATATTATTCTTATTCTTAGTACTATTATTATGATTATTATTAAAATTAGAAGAATACTACTTTGGTATTAAGTTATTTGTTCTGTATTCTTTTTCAGAAAGTATAGTTTATATTGATCAATTTCCATTTTTAGCTTTTACCTTGCTTTTTCATCATCTCTTTCATACTTTTTCATCTTATTTCATGCTATTATTTTTTATACTTCTTCTACATTATTAAATACCCCTGCTTTTTCTTAATAGTACCAAAGACGGAAGGAGTTATAATCATAATGTTAATAGTAATAACATCAATAATGATGATAATAATAAGAATAATAATAGCTATATGCATTATTCCATGAACCATGTGTAACTACATGAGGAGTAAATTATTTTCCTTCACAAACCCGAAGGCAAAAAAACAAGGTTTCATTAGGTGGCATTACTTTTCCTTTTCCAAATAAATTCAAAATACATGGTTTTGGGGACTGAACTCCAACCCCCCTCCCCCCATTAGCAATTATGTGGAAAATGGGAGAAAAAATAGGTCGAGACATAATCATCCAGTGTCCATGGGTACTTTGGTCTTTGTATTGATAACTGCCTTTCACTTCCGTAGCTAACTGCCACTAGAATTTGTATACTCCAGTAATTTCACTCCCACCAACCAAAGATAAGAATTCAGATTTTCTACAATTCTTTTTTATTCTATTCCCATAAAACTTAAATTCCTTTCCCCCAATATTCCTTCCTGATCAAACAACACCTAAATGAGAATTCTATACAGATCATATTCAAATGATATCAAGACAACAAATCAACAACAACAATTTGGAATATCAATATTTTGATACTGAATACCTTCTTTGGGAAAGTAACCCCACTTGGTGGTCGCGCAATGTGCTTATGAGCATCTGGCAGTTTGTATATTGCACATCTGAAAGCATACATTGGAAGGTATTCCGAACTTAGGTATTTTACCTACTTAGATCAATTGTCTGTCTTTTTAACAGAAGAAACATTAAAGTTCAAACTTCTTACATGACTTGATTGTCCATAATATCTTCCATCCCTTGAACAGGTGATCTGAAAATTGGAGGGCAGGGATCTCCCGCACAGAGGGATAAATAGCCATTCATCCCACCACTGTACACAACATTTAATGACGAAGCATAATTATACAGAACATCAGAGTAGAAACAATGAAATATGGACTAAAAGTTTTACAGAACTAAGACAAGTGTAGAACTGTAGAAGCTTCTAGCATGGAAAAATTAACAGTAGATTTATTCAATAGAGCAAGGAACTAAGGATTTTCAATTCAACACATATTTCAAGACAAACCTTGCTCCAGGGTCAATGATCTCCTTTGCTTCAATCTTTTCCTTGTCTGTTAGCTGTTTGCAGCGATTATCAAGAGAAAAGATGAATGGAGATAGTGGATGAGATACTGATATAAATAGCATATCAGACATTTCACTGTTTCTTCGTACTTCTTCATCCTGCATAATTGTTTTCACATTACATTTATTGAAATGAAACGTTTGTCAAGTTGAGCTCGATTGATGGC